GAAGTGCTCTGAGAGGATCCAGGCGCACTGGCGGCTGAGGCTGGGGGGCACGATAGCGCCCAACCCAGCAGCGGAGCGCAAGCGCTCCGACGCAGCAGCCGCCGCAACAGCAGCAAGCTGCGGTGGCCACCAATGCGGCGACCACGCTAGAGAGCAGGAGGGGCGTCAGCCCACTGCTCAAGTCCACCGCCAGCCCGAGGCAGACGGTGGGCGGCGGAGGCCCAGGGGGCTGGGAAGGGCACGTGCCCCCTCCCCCGCCCTCAAGGCCCCAGCCGAGGGGCCAAGAGCTGCCCGCAAGGGGCGAGCCCTCGTCCCACGGAGGGGGATGGCCAACGAGGCGCTCGTAGAGCACGCCCCGCAGCCGCTGGTAGGCAAGCACCCCGAGTCCTTGTGCGAGGAACTCGAGGGCCGCTTGCATGCGCCAGGGGGAGCTCGGCCGACGGAACCTCGCGCGCGCGCGTCCTTGTGGGCCGAGAAGCTGCATGACGCCTGCGGGGCGATCGCGGCGGGGATAAGAGGTAGCATGAGGAGGAGGAGGAGGAGGAGGAGGAGGAGGAGGAGGAGGAGGAGGAGGAGGAGGAGGAGGAGGAGGAGGAAGAGGAGGAGGAGGGGGGACGAAGAGGAGAGCGACGACGGAGGAGGCCCTCATGCGCACCAGGGGGGCCGCTCAGCGCACTGCGCGCGGAGCGGTTGACCTGCGCGAGGCTGGCAGGCCCGGCAGCGGAGTACGGCACCAGCGTCGGCGCAGGCTGCTTGCCGCCCTGGACATGGGAGGACGCCGACGGCCACGGCGGCGCCAAGCCCGGCCAGGCCTGGCCCATCCTGGGCCCAAGATCTCCGAGGGCATGATTTTGTCAATCCTGGCGCTTCTCTTCAACTTCGGCCTCTGGGGTCCTTCGACTTCGGCCTCTGGGGTCCTCCTCCTCCTCCTCCTCCTCCTCCTCATCATCATCATCATCCCCAGTCCTGGCGCTTCTTTTCGATTTCGGCCTTTGGGGGCCATGATCCGGCCCCAGGACCAACACAAACGGATCCGTGATGAAGATCTGCGCACGGAGAAGCGGGCGGGACCTATGGGGCCGCGGGTTCTGAGCGGGGGATCGACTGCAGAACTGATTTACCTCAGAATTGAGATGCTCGTCGGATCTGCCGATCTTCGGACATTCGACGCACTCTTGGTCGCAGGTCCGCCGAACAGATCAGGTCTGAAGCAAACCGATTCTGTAGTCGATACCCTGCTCGAGGATTGACAGGGACTGAGGTCAGGTTTTTAAAAGGAAATTAGGACACACAAATAAATACACACAAATAAAAATAGTCCCCATATTTTCTCATATTTTCTGGGTTTTTGTCTTCCCCCCCAATTCCCATATTTTCCCATATTTTCCTGGGAATCGAAGATTAATTGTGTCTGTGTGTTTTTTTCCCTCCTGAGTTTTCCTGGGTCACCCCGTTCTCGCGCACCGCGCCCCGCGACGCAGGGTTGCCTTCCCGCGCCGACCCCCCCTCCCCCCTTGGGACAGGGCAGCTGCCCCGAACCGGGCCGCCACGCGCGGACCGTGGCTACTCCTCCGCGCGCCCCTGGGAGCGACGCAGGCCTTCACGCGAGGCCCTCCAGAAAAGGGCCTCGTCCTCGAGGGCCGAAGGAGCTATATTCGCGCGCCCCTGGGAGCGACGCAGGCTTTCACACGAGGCGCTCCAGAAAAGGGCCTCGTCTTCGAGGGCCGAAGGAGCTATATATTCGCGCGCCCCTGGGAGCGACGCAGGCTTTCACACGAGGCGCTCCAGAAAAGGGCCTCGTCTTCGAGGGCCGAAGGAGTTATATTCGCGCGCCCCTGGGAGCGACGCAGGCTTTCACACGAGGCGCTCCAGAAAAGGGCCTCGTCGTCGAGGGCCGAAGGAGCTGTCCGCTCCTCCGCGGCGGCAGGCCGCGGCTGGTGGCGGTGGGCGGCGGAAGTAATCACAGCGAGGCCGCCTCCTCCGCCGGCGGAGGGCGGCGGGAGCTCGGCGGAAAGCAGAGGTCGACCTTCCAAGAGATGACGGTTCAAGGTTTTCAAGGGGAACAAAAAAGTGGGAGGTTCAAGGTTTTCAAGGGTTCAAGGTTTTGGGGTTCAAGGCTTGGGGTTTAAGGTTTTTCTAGGGGAAGGGGGTTCGAGCATTTTTGGGGTTCAAGGTTATCTAGGGGAACAAAAAATGACATAAACATAGAAACTCGGAGGTCCGCGCGGATCTCTCGGATCGGCGCTGGGGCCACCGCCCCTGGCGCGCGGAGCGCGCCAGGGGCGGCGACGGAGGCGCCGCCGGGGGGCCCCAGCGCCGATCCGAGAAATCCGCGCGGACCTCCGAGTTTTTATGTTTATGTCACTTTTTGTTCCCCTATTTTCGGAACCCGCCACATGATTTCCAGCCTTTGGGGGGCCACCTGAGGCGCCCCCGCGGCCAGGGCGGCATCCGCCCGACACCCCGGGCCGGGGCGCACTGGTCAGGTTCCGGCGGACGATGCCGTGAGGTGAGAAACCGTGCACGGCGCATGGCTCGTTCCGGACACCCTGGATCCAGAGGATGATGAAAACAGGTAAGAAGCCATGCGTGGCGCCTGGCTCGTTCCAGAAGCCCTGGATCCGAACCACGCGTGCATCTCTTGGAAAGTCGATGTGTACTTCCAGCGGCCTCCCGCGAGGGTGCGGCCACGGAGATGAGATGGCATGTGTGGACAGAAAAACTCGAACCCCCAAACTACCACCCATGCCAAAATCAACATCGATTTCGGGGGCGTGGGGGTGATGAACATCCCCCTCAAGTGCGTGAGGATTCGGATATTTTGTCCATGTACTGCCCTGGGACCTACGATAAACAAGCGCGCTCCACTACTCGCAAGGGAACTACTCGCAAATGGCCTGGATCCGCCGCGGGGGATTTACGACCCATTACATAAAAGGAAGACATATTTTGGGGGGGCGTTTGCGAGAAGGCAATTTGCGAGTAGTGGAACGCGCTCGGTGACACTAGAGCTCCTGGGCCCACGTCGTGAACAAGCCCAGACTTCCGATGGGTTGATTGTTCAATCCGCAGGCCTCGGCGGAGCTCTCGACCGCCTTCCCCGCGGGTTGTGGGGGGGGGGCAGCTTCTCGTCCTGGGCCCGCTTCTAGTGACCCGACGCCCCGCAGACGGCCCCCAAGGAGGCCGAAGTTGGGGAGGGCCGCCCGGGTCGAGAAAGCAAAACCTTCCGAGCTTCGAGCAGGGGATCGACTACAGAATTGACTTACCCCAAACTTGACTTCCCCGCCGAATCTACGAAACAAATACGCATAATGTCCCATATCAGAGTGAAGGGGGCGAACGGTCATTCATTGTCCCTGGGTGCGTGGCTGAAGTGCGAATCCCTGGTGAAGATTCTGCTTATTGTGGTCGTCGTCGTCGTCGTCGTCGTCGTCGTCGTCGTCGTCGTCGTCGTCGTCGTCGTCCCCCCCGCGACCCGGCCCGCAACCCACCGGCGACCCACCACGTGACCCAACCGCGACCCACCCGCGACCCACCCCGCGACCCGCTCGCGACCCACCCGCGACCCACCCGCGACCCACCCGCGACCCACCCGCGACCCACCCGCGACCCACCCACGACCCACCCGCGACCCGGCCCGCGACCCACCCGCGACCCACCGTCGACCCACCCTGACTCTGGATCCGCCCTACTTTGGGGAAATTCGTAAGTAGGGCTTGGAATTTCCGCCCTACTTTTCAAGCCCCGCTGATGCCAATTTCCGCCCTACTTTTCTGTTGTTGTTTCCGCCCTACTTCTGTGGATTTTCGCCCTATTCTATGCTGGGTGCAGAAATTTCCGCCCTACTTTTTCGGCCTCTTATAGGTGGATTTCCGACGCAATTTAAGTTGGAAAAAAAGCCAAAGTAGGGCGGATCTGGAGTCAGGGCACCCGCGACCCACCTGCGACCCAACCCGCAACCCACATACATTCTTTTCACAAAAAACCGGCGCCTGCGACAGACTCGTTGTATAGCTTGAAAAATGATGTGCCTGCGGCGGGCTTCTTCAAAGCCTCGCCGACTGCCGACGACCTCGCCGCCCCATCACTCTTATCCGCAACTGCGGGGTGCTACGTATCTACGAACAGTCTGCTCGTTTCCTGTACACTCGGCGGGAAAATCAACTTTGGAGTAAATCGCTTCTGTCGTCGATCCCCGATTCGTAAGCTGTGGGGCAGGAAAGAATCCGCCCGCCAAATGCGTATATCATGCTCCAAAAAGCCCTGGGGAGTGGGCGAGCGGTCGTGGGTTTGGTGTGCGAGTGTCCCTCCCTGGGGCGCGGCTCCTGTACACTGACCGGGGCCCCTGGCGGTGGAATCTGACTGGGGCGGGGAGGCTGTGGTGCGCAACACAATCTCGAGCACAGAAGCCGTAGATAGGTCGGCATGGTGGGCCCCACCCTCCTGGCCTGGCCATGGAGGCGTACACCCCGGTCCCCGGGCCCGAAGGTAGAGGCCTCCTGGATGGGGTCCGAGCAGGTGGGGTCGGACGATCGCGCCGCATCGCCGATGCATCGCCGATACATCGGCGATGCATTGGCGACGTCGACGTGAAGCAAATCGAGCTCCACATCGAGCCGCATCGCCGACGCATCGGCGATGCGGCGCAATCCTCCGACCCCATCTGCTCCGACCCCATCATGGAGGCCTAGAGCCATGGAAGCGTGCACCCCAGTCCCTGGGCCCGATGGGCGGGCGCCGCTTTCGTGGACATAGTCGGCCTCCCCCCCTCCTTCGGACCGGGCCTCGGCGACCCAGCCGGAGCTCGGGAAGGCTCGGGTGTTGCTAGAAGCGCCCCTGGCCCAGAGTGCCCCCAGGATCTCGAAGGACGCCCCCACGGGCTCCAGGGCTCACCTCACGAGGCTCAGAGGGCCCCATGGGCTCCAACATTGAGCGAAAAGCTGGAGGAGGAGGAGGAGGAGGAGGAGGAGGAGGAGGAGGAGACCTTGGGCCAGGGGCACCTTCAGCAACCCCCGAAAGGTCGCGGTGTCCGCGGAGGACCGGTACAGGGTCGCGCGGCCCACCCCGAACCACGTGTCGTCGACGAAGAAGCGCCAGGCCTTCGGCGGCAGCTCGTGGGAGCTTCCCATGCCATCTCCCATACCATCTTGCTGGCTCTTGCGAATCCCCTCCTCCCTCCTCCCCCTCCTCCCTCCTCCCTCCTCCGCTCCTCCCTCACGCTCGGCGACGCTAAATCGACGCTAAATCGACGCTAATCGACGCTAGCCGACGCTAAATCGGCGCCATCTCATCGACTCCCGGGCGCCCATCGACGCCAGTCGACGCTAAAGACGGAATTGAGAGGGCACACCAGGCTCCCATGATTTGCTACCGAACCAAGCCTTCCGCGACTCGCTCCACTCCATGACGGTCTTCGGCGAGCGGGCCTTGAGGTAGCGTGGCCTCCCGCTGTGCTCGCCCGAATGTACGTAAAGCCCGTTGACCGCGCGCACGCCGGCGCCCTCTACGGTGAAGGCGAGGTTCGGGCCTGGCCTGACGCACTGGTGGTAGTCCGAGCCTCCGAAGTCGAGGAACCCAGTGGCCCCCTCGCACTCCGCCGGGTCCCTCGGGTCCCCGCTCTTACAGCAGGCGCCGCCCTTGCCGCAGAAGGTCTCGCACATGCCCGCCTGCCCCCCGCATGGCGGCAAGCAGTGGGCGCCGTTGCTGCTGCCCTCGCGGAGGCAGGTGGCCACCTGGTCCCACCTGAAGCCCTCGCCGCAGAGGCTCGGGCGGGCCCTCTTGCGGTGCGTGGATCGCTTGTAGCACACCTTCTTCCCTCCTCCTCTCTCCTCTTCATCCTCACCATTCTCCTCCTCATCTTTCTCCTCCTCCTCGTTCTCCTCCTCCTCCTCCTGCTCCTCCTCCTCCTCCTCCTCCTCCTCCCTCCTCACCGTCCTTTCTCCTCCTCTCTACTTCTCCCCCCCCTCCCTCCCCATCTTCCTACTCATTCTCCCTCATCCTCCTCCCACCTCATCCTGCTGCTGCTGCTGCTGCTGCTCCTCCTCCTCCTTTTCCTCCTCCTCCACCCCCATTCTTCATAAACAACTCCTCCCTGTCGCAACCTCAAACGTGTCGGTACGGCGGGCCAAGCGTTTCGCCTGAGACTTCCTCATCATTTATAACCCTGAAGCTTGCAAGTTGCATCAACCAGCTGCTTCCAACATGTAGCTCTCGCCTTAACTCCGCGCGCATTCTTCTGAAAAGGTTACAACAGCTTCAAGGAGATAGGGCGGCTCCTTTTCAACATGTAGGCCTCGCCTTAGCAAGCGCATATTTATCTAGACAGTTGAAAGCAACTTCAAAATATCGTATTGTTGAGGACCCAAGAATGGCGTCCTGGCGCGATTTCAAGTTGTCAGGACGCAACAATCACGTTGATTCGCGGTGTTGAAGTCCCAAGGCGATGTTCTGGCAAGATTCGAGGTTGGCAGGGCGCAACAGTCACTTTGATTCGCGGCGGTGAAGTCCCAGGAACGATGCTCTGGCACGGCTGAAGATTCTCAAACGGTTGTCTTCCAATGGGGCACTTCTCCCAATGAAGACGCAAGAAAATATGGCTGCAATCTTGTAAGGACCTATGAAGAGGGCACTTGGAGGGAGGGTTGATTGAAACATCGTTGATGCGTCTTGGGTTTACGGTCCAGAGCTGTCGGGAATTTCCTTTGTCGTCTGCGAGACCGAAGGCCCTGAAACGCGACAGCCAACATACATCGTCCCCCAACCAGCGCTTGCACTTATTATTATTGTTTGCGTCAGTGGTTGGTGTGTCGAAGTTTCTTTTCGTCGCCGCCCGTTGCCGCCTCGTCGCCACCCGCGTGGGGGGCATGCCTCGGTTTCGTCGCGTCGTCGCCCGTGACCACTTCGTTTACGCCTCGCTGCGGCCGCATCATGGCCGCCCTTTTGGGAGGCCTTTAGAAGTTTCCCCGAGTTGAGGCCCGTGGCCGCCTCGTTGCCGCCTGCTTGGGGCGTTGTGCGTCGAGGTTTGGTCGCGCCGCCGCCCGTGGCCACCTCGCTCACAGAACAGATTATACACCGCGTAGCTTGCACGAGATAGCTCGCACCACGTAGCCGAGACATTGAACGACGCACACCACATGCCCCACCCCACATAGCTCACACCGCATACTTTTGAACACCATAGATCACGCCGCATACCTTTAATGTCCGCACTGATCTAATTCGTTGTGGGCCCGCGCGGGCGAACAATGTGTTGGGGCATTTCGGGCATCGAACAAACTTGCACGATGGTGGGCGGATCCGTCACCATCCGCTTCTTGTCGGTCAGCGAAGGCAGCAGACCCTCCGCCTCCTACGCCCCCAGGACGACAATGTTTTCTTCTTGGGCCTCGAACTGCGGCTTAAAGTCTTGAGACGGCGCGAATGTGATAACCACCGTCGGATCCATTTAAGTTTGTGTGGATCCAATACTGGCTTTGGTTTGTGTTTCGGTGGGCCCGATGTCCGCCCGCACGGGTCCGATCTCGGATGTGGTGGATCCGATATCCACCCCATTTGTTACATGGATCCGACTCATACCCCGTGTGAAAACATACGATCGACTTAGAATGGGGACCAACAAGAAATCGGATCCGTGGACCCCGCAACCGCAACCCGTCGATGTTAAGATTATACGGGGGACGGGGGGTTCGGCTATCAGCTTCCCAGGATGGGTCCTGCGCTCTCTCGCGCACTACCATCAACTCTCGGCGCGCGCTGGTCCACGCAACATGGATGCATACCTCTGTTCCCAGTTGCTGCAAACAGCTCGTTTAGACGCCGTGCGCTCGGCGGCGCCGATGTTGTCTTGCGAACTCCTCATCGCCGTTTTCACCCCAAGAGGAAAATGTCTCGTCGTGCTCGAGGAAGACGAAGCCGCGACAATAACTACATCAGACAAGGATCGATCGGGAATCACTGAGATCCGGCAGTTCTGGCGGATGTGTCGGACGCCGCGACCTTCTCAGAGCGGTCCAGAACGCTCTGAGATGGCTCCAGGACGCTCTGAAAGGATTTGATCCCCGTCCCAGCCCCGCCAGATCTCCCCATCGGACGGGCAACGATCAGGGGGGACTGGCTCGAGAGCAACAACTTCGAGCAGGGATCGGCCACACATCGTCGATAGATCGGCGATGAGCCCCCGATAGCGACTCCGCACGTTCCTGGGCGGGGGCGGCCCGCATCGGCGATGAACGGGAGACTGGGGGTCGATGCATCCCCCCCTGAGCCATCCCCCCCAATGTTGCCCCCCTCCTCCTCCTCCCCTCCTCCTCCTCCTCCTCCTCCTCCTCCTCCTCCTCCTCCTCCTCCCTCCTCCTCCTCCTCCTCCGCCTCCCCTCCTCCTCCCTCCTCCTCCTCCCCCCTCCCTCCCCCTCCTCCTCTCCCTCCTCCCTCCTCCTCCTCCTCCTCCTCCCCCTCCTCCCTCCCCCTCCTTCCCCCCCTTCCTCCCTCCTCCTCCTCCTCCTCCTCCTCCTCCTCCTCCCCTCCTCCTCCTCCTCCTCCTCCTCCTACTCTCCTCCTCCTCCTCCTCCTCTCCTCCTCCTCTTCCTCCTCCTCCTCCTCCTCCTCCTCTCTTCCTCCTCCTTCTCCTCCGCATGGAGGATTGACATTCTAGGAGTACCGATCACTCGTTTATGCCGCATGTCCCGGTGCCTCGCCCTGAGAAGGCTTGCTCTGACGTGTGGCCGACCCTCCTTTCAGGCAGGGGCGTCCAGGAGGGGGGGGCGCAGATCATGGCGGCGTCATGGGCGCGGCCCAGGGGAGGGGACCTGGGAAGCACTGAGAAACGAAGAGGCGCCACATGAAATCTGGGGAGATATCATGTCAGGGCACCCGCCGTGATCATGATCCAACTCCCCCTGAACAATTACTCAATATGAATACTACTCTTCCTCTTCCCCTGATGACGGTTTGAAAGTGCTCGACCCCCCCCCGCGTATTGTTTTTTACACACAAGTTTCCCCGGAATTGGGTTTTCGCCTGCATTTGTTTTCAAGATGCTGCTCTCGCTGAGGCGCCGGCCTCATTTTCGGGCCCCGCTCGTTCCGAATCGTGCTTCCGCTGCAGCGCTGGCCTCATTTCTCTGCTTCCGCTCGTTCCGAATCGTGCTCCCGCTGCAGCGTTGGCCTCATTTCCGCGCGTCCGCTCGTTTCGACTCGTGCTCCCGCTGCAGCGCTGACGTCATTTCCCGTGCCATGCCACGGCATGCAATGCAATGCTAGGTTGATACTACGCTTTGCGGTGCTCTTCTACGCCATGCCATGCCGTACTCTACAATGCATCGCGTACCCTTTCGGGATCATTGCCCTGCTCGACATCCGACTGTGCGAGTAGAGAGGGGATCTAGGCCATGGCAAGGGATGGGAGGGAGGGGTAGGATGTCAGATATGACGCGAGCGCACCTAGCTTGTCGTCACACCCTCTCCTGGCCGCCCCCGACCCGTCTCCCTGCAGCCCCGAAGCCACTCTTTCTCCGCATCGTCGGCCAGCAGAGGCCTGGACCCCTCCCCCCTCCTCCTCCTCCTTCCTCCTCATCCTCCTCCTCCTCCTCCTCCTCCTCCTCCTCCTCCTCCTCCTCCTCCTCCTCCTCCTCCTCCTCCTCCTCCTCCTCCTCCTCCTCCTCCTCCTCCCCGAAGGCGGCAACGGCCAGAGCCTCCCACGACGCGGGGAGTGTTCGCACGCGGTCGCAGAAAGGGGGAGCCCACCAAAGGACGTACGCGCCCAGCTGTGCACATGAACACGGCCCCTCGAGTCGCGAGACCCGCCGCGTGATACGAACATTTGTGCAATGCGTGCTCTCGAAACCAGCGTGGATTCATGTACATGTGCGCCCTTGTTTCGCTCCTGAGCAGAGTGTCGCTGCACCGACCTTGCAGGCGTGCCGCAGCGGATTTTGGGCGTGGGCTGCTGCCAAGGCAGGCCCCGAAACGGCGAGCGGAAAACGAAGCGAACGTCACGTGGATGTGTTTGAATCTTCATTCCTGGCCCCAAGAAATCAGCACGAAATTGATTTCGAAATCCGAAACGAAATTCTCCAGGACACTCCGGGCCCATCCGATTGTTTTCCGAGCGAAATCCGCTCGGGCGGGTGTTACAGTCGGACCTGGGACGGAAAAGCATCCTTCCCTCAAGAACATGGGACCCTCCGCCGGCCAAAAGCATACAGAACATCCACGGGTGCCCTCCGGAGGATGCAGCAGAGCATCCAATCAACACGAAGAACAATAGAGCGTAGGGCACCCTCCCAGAACCGACCTCGATCGTATGCCTCGGTCCGACTGTACTTGGGGGGTGCCAGCGACCGAGAGAGCGTGATCCACCGCCGCTTTACTGTGGAAATTCCCCCCCCCCCTCTTCCTCCGGAACCCGGGGGTGACCCGCCCCCCCCTTTTTCGAAAATCAATCCCCCCGCTCCCTGCTGGACCCCCCTCCCTTCCCCCGGCAACCCCCACCCCCTAACCCCTCCCCCCCCCTGCGGAAAACCGGAGGGGGGGGTCACTACCGCTTCGAACCCCCCCTTCCCCCCCCTCCAAAAAACCGAGGGGGGTCACTACCTGTTCGAGCCCCCTCCCCCCCCCTCTGGAAAACCAGGGGGGGGTCACTACCGGCTCGATCCCACCCCCCGAAAACCGTGGAGGGTATATACCGGTTCGAACCCCTCTCCCCCCCCCCTGCGGAAAACCGGGGGGGGGGTCACTACCGGTTCGAACCCCCGCCCTCCAGAAAACCGGGGGGGTGTCACTACTGGTTCAAACCTCCTCCCCCCCCCTCCAGAA